TAAAAAGTTTGATCATGCCACTCCCCTCTTGCGATCATTGCATTGGCTGCCAGTTCACTATCGAATTGAGTTTAAAATATTGCTACTTGTCTATAAATCACTTGACAATCAAGCTCCGTCTTATTTGTCTGATTTACTCCACCCCTCTTCGAAGAGGGGACTAAGATCAGAGGGCAAATTTCTCCTTCAGACCCCTATAGAACCCGCTTAAAAACCAGAGGATCTAGACTCTAGAGCCTTTGAAGTGGCTGGTCCCACCCTCTGGAACAACTTACCAGTTCACATCAGAATGGCTTCCACTTTATCTGAGTTCAATGTAACCACATACATGGATATAAAATATGACTCATAGAAAAGAAACCGTTGGCTGTCTAAGTGAGTTTGATTCATACATTGATGGTTCGAGTTGTTAATTACATGATGCAGTGAGCAGTTTAGCACCGGTTAATGATTTAATGCACGAGCACTGCTGTAGTTTATATAACAACACTCTCCAACAGCAGAATGGTACTTTTATTTCTTTTAAGTCTGATTCCTAGTCATAATAGAATGATATGTTCGTTTTACCGGCAATATACAGTTTGTGATTGCATTTTATATGTCCAGATATGTCCAGACGTGCAGTCTACCAATAGCATTCGAGCTACAGCAGTAGGAACGCCCACAAGCGTCTTCACAGCACGGAGTCTAGCGACACACAGCGAAAAAGTCGCTGGCAGTGTGAACGGGGCTTTACCCTGCATAAATCGCTTCTGGAACTTCTCATTCACCTCGTGTGAACTCACTGGCGTTAACAGAGTATAGACTTTACGTGTGATACGTATTTAAACCATTGAAACGTGTTACAGAGTTCCATAAACGTCACAGCGTTTGTTTTACACGAATAATGAAAATAAATGGGACCATATAGGCTAATAAAAATTATTCAAGATCCCGTTGTTGTACAATAGTCACATATTCAACAGAGGTTTCATAAGTGGATTTGTAAAGCATCTGAAGTCAGTAGGTTAGTAAGCCATATTTTGCATAAGGGACAAAAAAGATAAAACTATAGGCTACACGATCTAGTCCCTTTGAAAATAGCAGTTGATTCTATTTTTATCTGATCAAAACCTTAAAATTACTTATTGTAGTTGGGTCAATTTGGGTAATATTGACTTTTTGAATGAAAGTAGTTTATTTAGATGCTACCATATGAAGCACATTAGGAAACTATATATATATTCCTTTCAGGTTTCAAAATATGTTTAAGCTTGGTGTGAACTGTTTTTTTTAACCTGTATGTAATAGACTTATATAATATCAAACATCATATTGGTTATTGGACATAACATAAAACAATTCTTGGTATCAGTCAAAATTGCAATGTTGTTGCATCCATAGAACTCCATGGGCTGGATCTAAAGTCACATGTTTAAGTTGATGTAGTGTGTTTACTTGTTAAACGTTACAGAAAATCTGCTTCCTTGTTTCCTGTTGTCTACCACTTAAGAGGTCATGTGTTCAAATGTTATTATTTCCCTGTCTTTAATGACTTTATGTAGCAGGTTATTGTGCCTCGTATTTGTTTTACTTGCTTTCAAGGCTTTCTGTCAAACAGAGGGTGAGTTGAGAGGGTGCGCCCGGCACGAGACAGTGTTTCCATCACCTGTTCTGGAACGTGACTGCAGCTTTTGTAAATGAATCAGCCGTCAATTAACATTGAAGTGGACATGGTTGACTGAGCCAGCATGTAATTGGCCCTTGGCTAACCTCGGTAATAAACCACTATTCAAAGCAGCTTAACCGGTTAACCTCCTTGGATGAAGGCTAGTGCATACTTGAGTAAAGTTCAATTATTATAAGCTTTATGAAATAAATGGAAAACGAATGCAGCTTTAGTGCGTGACCACCCATGTTCCCCAAGAGCTCACTAACTTTCCCTAAGTGCTGGTGGGACAGTGAACAATGTCTCTTGACTCTTGCTTTTCTATTTATATTACAGTTGCATGATGTTTTGGATATCTCATGTGATTATTGGCCATACTCTAGTTTACACTAGTAAAGTGTGCTGATATGTCAGAGCCAAGTCTGACAGCGCACACTTGGACCTTCTACATACATGTGAGTTTGTTTTCATGGCTAGTAGCAGGAAGTTGTTAGCGCTCGCGCGTGGTTTCTAAGCAGATTCCATGAAAGCAATCACACAGGGTTTATGACAGCATACATAAGTTACTCTAAGTATGGTAATGTTTATCACCATCATTTATGTGATTCACACATTGGACTAGACTGATGCTATATTTAGGTGCACTTTGTAGTCTTTATGCTGCACTGATGATGAGTCTAACCAGCGCAATCATAAAAGCATGTGTACCACATAATTCACTGCAGCACTGTAAAACGTCTTTGTTTTGTGTATAGTTCAAATGCAACTTGCAGCTTTTAGAGTGAACGCGCATGGAATATATTAAAGTTTTAGAACCATATGCATTGTGCATCTAAATACAGTTCAATCAGTTAACACATAACATGGCATGTACATTTACTTAATTATGATGTATGAAATGCAGTATTATTCCATTTATAAAGAAGTGGAACAATATCACCATTACCACTGCCACCAATGAAAATAATAATAATAATAGTAATCATAATAATATGAAAACCTGTTCCGAACTCTAAGGCTTTTAGAATGAGCATGTCTAATATCCTCAGCACTGTTAATTAAATTGTGCATTTAAACACCATTTAATCAGAAAACACAAATTTATGCAACCTTTAAATGCACTGAATTATGAGTTCAGCATTTATATGAAATGCCAGGTTGATTATAATAAACATATTAAGCACAATCACCATCATCGATACAATGTCATTTTTATGAATAATAATAATAATAGGCTATATCAGTAATAATATTGCATTATAAAAATAATAATTGTAAATATAATAATAATAATAATAATAATAATAAATGTATTACTTACCAGGACTGTCCATCCTTGATATGTTTTTCAAGATCCTCTGTCTTCAGAATTATTATCTTCAAGAAAGTCTATGTGTCAGTGTGTTAAATTCTGGTGAAAACAGGTATAAAAGTCACGAAATGCCTGTGCATACAGTGAGAACCCCGAAGAAGGCAGGCAGTATCTCGAGCACAAAGCATTTGGCAGCGGAGCCAAACAGTCGGTAAAAAATAGAGTCGGTCACAGGTGTGCAGATGCACTTTCCGCGCGCGGCTACCTGTACCCTGCTCTGTCTTGATCTAGTGTGAAGACGCGTTAGGTGTGCTGGCTGATGATGTCTCTCGTCTGTCCGTTCACTGCCATCAGCATCTCTGTGGGACTGTCAAACTACACTTTCACTCCTGGCCACGCACACAACCTTCCACACCCACATCAATCACGTTTTAAGATGACTGGCAAGTGTGACTGGGTTTTGGCGGAGCCGTCAACCTCTGTTGTTGTCTTTGGCGGGGATTTATCTCACTCTAACGTGCTCCATGATCTCCTAGCTTTCCCTTTCCTCTTGATCCTAGCGTGCATTTTCATTGGCGGGAGTGTAAGCGCCGAGCTGAGCTGGATGCGCTTATTCGAGCGCGCTACGTGCTGGTAAAGCCACGCTGCATGCGCCCTCTGCATGTGCAGTGGAAGTGCTTGTCCTACTGACACACATTTTATGCAAAACACAGCGTGAGACTAGGCGACATGAGAGGCTTGCACATGGACTGCAGGAGGGGCTCTGCGTGACTGCTGCCGAGCGCGTCTTTTAAAATCTCTTTCAACATGTGAATGAGGCATAGAGGCATGGCATAAACAAGTGCATAAAAACACTTTAGCTGTATGTAAGATACAGTAATATAATATTTATCTTTAAAAAAGATAACATACACAATATCAATATCAAATAATTGTTTTGGACAGCTCATATATTCATTATAATTTGAATGAACTGACCTGCAACATTAATGTGACAGCTTGCCCTAATAAGATCTGACAAAATTCTCTTATCTGATCTTTTATTGTATAGTTGATTCTTGCCTGAATGTAGTTTTGTTGTGTTCACTTGTTTGCCTATAGCAAACTATAGGCAGCTATAGCAGGCCCTACAGCTATAGCAGAAAAAAAAATTGTTTGGTTTAGGAATTTTAGATTGAAGAACAGAATTCAAATAATTATTTCCATAAAGAGGGTCTGAAGCCAACATACAAAACTTATACTAGAGTGAGGGGGGAGGGGGGACAACACACACACACACACACACACACACACACACACACATTTGTGTAATTGGACTTTTGACTGAAAAGTTTAGTTAGCTAACTAAGATGCTCTTGTGGTAACTTCCTTGTGTGACAACTAGCCCCAGTCTTCACTATACACACACACACACACACACACACTACCATTCAAAGGGGATCAGTAAGATTTTTTTTT